TAGTTGTAACCGTACACACAGCTGGCGAAACAGCCCTTGAGGGTGCCTTAACTTCAAACAGCAGATCTGTGCTCAGTGCTGTGCTTTCATTTAGCATCATATTTCCCAAACAGAGCTGCATGCGCCGGTGTGAACTTTAAAACAACATCTTGAGTGGTTCTGATCCCTCATACTACATTCAGCTTAATGATAATCTTCCCAGCCTTTGATGGCACCCCTGATTCATACTTTGTCCTTGTAATCCAGCCATGACAAATGCTAAAATTAACCCTGTAATGGCGTTCAGCCAGCAGTCAGCGTAAGGCTCTAATCTATCCATCCCTGCCTGCAAACACCCAGGTAGCCATTCAAAGAAGCTTAGCAGGGTCACCTGTCTTACCTTGTGTCTGTCTCTCACTTTTATTCTTAGTCTCGGACTCCTCCCCCTATTGAGCTAAACCACTCCCACTATTGTGCCAAATCAGATCTGTCCTTGAGACGTCTGTTTCTTTGTCCAGATACTGATGCTGAAGTGCTGCTGTTTGCTGTGGAGTGAGAGCTAATATGTTTGACTATTGCAACACGTTTGGAATTATCAACACATTCACATATGCAGAAACATGCATGGATACGTCAATGCATGGACAAACAGGATCTAGTTCCACACACCGTAAGTACTAACTCCAGTGCAGAAATGACGCTTTAAAGTTGATCTGAGCTATTCAACATCAGAAAGTAGTCAGTAATGCTTCGCTCTTGAACATGGGCAGCAGTGTAACAAGTGTTTGCTGAAGTTTGATTCTGTTATTCTACCCAGATTTGTTATAACCTGGTTGATTCTACAGTGTAAAATATCTGTGAATTGACAGTTTTCATTGACATGATGTTTCCACTTGTTCATGCTTTTGGATTGCGTTATGGGATATTGATCGTTCCTCAAAAGGATTTTGATGTTGAAAAGTGGAAAAATGTACCTTTTGCATTGTTTTGAGTAGTCTGCAGTGCTATATCACAGCTGGAAATTAACTTTCTGACTTGGTGGCACCGGTGCTCCCCACCTGAAATATTTAGGAGCACCAGAAAAAATGTAGGAGCACCAGAAAAAATGATTGATATATTTGACAAGTTGTATATTAAAGGATTTATTGTATTTGAAAACAACATCAAGTGGGACAAACAAAACCCAGAAACAACTATCTAACTAATGCTGTGATGACTTAATATCTGTGCAATAATTCCAAAATGAATGTTGAATAATTATAAAACAATAACGATGATGATGACGATGATGACAATAATACTAATAATGAATTATATTTCTCATCATCATCATGCTGCCTTGAATGTGCTTTAATGTAAGTTATCTGCTGTATAAAGTCCTGCTGTTACTCTATGAAAAATAAATTGATGGTTTTCATCAAACACAAATGAAGCATTGCAGTGAGAAATATTTATTTTGTACTGCTGTTTTTATATGCGTGTCAATTTAATAAATAATAGTTCTGCTACAAAACAAACAAAATAATATAATAAATCATTTAATTCAATGCTGAAAGCTGCAAAGCAGTCATCAGTAAATAAATAGAAAAATAATAAACCCCTCAAGAAAGAACAGACAAAAAGAAAGGAAGAAAAGTCTCACTTATATAAGTTTTGGTTTCGGTTCGTGTCGTTTTAATGCTCAGTATATGGTTTTAATATCAATACTGTTCTCTGTTCTAACCCGCATCAGTTTAAACTCAGTAAAGGCGAGCTTCTTTGGCGATGATATGTACAGTATTAGATTTGACTTTTAGTGGACATTTGCGCTGTTGCAGACTGATCTCACGAGGAAACGTATAAAACTGTTATGAATTGCCGTGAGATTGTGTTGGCCGAACACGCAGTGCATGCAGTGCATCGAGAGTCGGTGTACTTTCACTCTTCAGCCGTTTGCATTCTCCGCGGTCACAAAAGCTCCCTCCCTGTCAGCTGACAGCAGAAAGCCTTGAGTGATTGACAGCTAATATGAACCAATATAGCGGCAGGGAAGACAGATTTTACCATGTTTTTAGAAAAGAAACCAAAACGGGTCACACTACAACCATTATATGCAGTCGCACAATATCCTCCCAATTTATATTATGAGGGCGCATTGCTTAAGTTTCAGGCGCATATGCGACCAAAATGGTCACAATTTCGAGCCCTGTATATTGTGTGTGTTGGTGTTCTGCTACAAAAACCTTGTAATAAACTGCAGCACATTTTCTCTTATTTTTAATTCTCTATATATTATTTATTAAGCAATATCTTGCCTCAAACTATTAAAATGTCAATAAAAGTCACTCTGTCGAAACTGCAGAGTGGAATTTTCAACATCTAAAGTGAACAGAGCAAAGAAAAACTCCCATAATGCAATTCACAACTGTAAATAAACAGACAGCGCATGTGAATATGTGAAGTACTGAACCTGTTTAATAACAGATTTTTGTTGTAGTAAACTGGCTAATGTTGTTATTCACTAAAGTGTTCTACAACCCAAAATCTGACAAAGTTGGGACAGTGTGCAATACGCAAATAGAAGAAGTGATTTCTGAATTGACTTTGACTTGTGGTTAATAGCAGAAAATACAACAAACATTAATTAATTTGTTCCTCATGATTTATATTGTTTGTTTCAAAATAAACACATTTGATTTTTGGTTCTTGCAACACATTAAAAACACGAGACAGGAGCAGTTTAGGGCAGTAATCAGGCAGATTAGTTAAATGATGTGATGTGACACAGGTGATTGTGATTATGATCTGCTACAGTGGTAGCATCTTAAGAAAGGTCCTTCAGGAGCAAAGATGGAGCAAGGATCGCCGGTTTGCCAACAGATATGAGAGAAGACAATGATCATCAGAGAAAGAGAGGAAGACATGGATATTTCACCTTCAACAGTGCAGAATAACATTAAAGATTGAAGATATCTGGAGGAGTTTCAGTGCGTAAAGGACAAGAGCGCAAGTCTAAGCTGAACAACCGTGACCTCCGACCCCTCAGGGGGCGCTGCATCAAGAGTCCTCATTCATCTATAAGCAGATCAGCACATGGGCTCAGCACTACTGCGCTAAACCTGTGACAAGCAGCACAATACAGAGTCACATCCACAAACAGCAGTCAACACTGCACTGTGCCAAGAGGAAGCCCTATGTTAACAGTGTCCAGAAGCGCCGTCCACTTCTCTGGTCTCAGAGGCGTCTGGAATGAACCGTCACAGTGGAGACATGTCCTGTGCTCAGATGAATCAGTGTTTCAGATATTTTTGAGGAGAAATGCATGCTGTGTGCTCTGGACAAATAACAAAAGCATCAGCGGGGTTGTGTCAGTGGTGACCTGCTCTTCTGTGATGCTCCAGTAATGCTGAACAGCACACAGAGATTCTGGAGCTCAATATGCTGCCTTCTCCTCCAGCACGCCCATGCAGAGTCCAACAAGACAATGCAGAACCACGTTCAGCTCACAATACAGAGTCCTGCTGTGGAGGAAGAGGAGACAGCTACTGCACTGGCCTGCCCATAGTCCTGACCTGTCTCCAATAGAGAATGTGTGCCATTTTTTAAGCACAAAATGCATCAAGGACCTCGTACTGTTGCCTAATTTAAGACATGTTTGCAGAGAGAATGGGACATCTTTACACCTGAAACAGTTCATCACTTTAATCCCTAAACATGGTTGAAGTGGTGTGAAAGGGAATGGCAGCGTTACATTGTGGGACATGCTTTACTGTTTTGATGTTTTGAAATCTGTTGCAAGAACCAAATCTGGAATGTGTTTATTTAACAAAAAAACATAAACAAAATCATAAGGGACACATTAAATAATGTTTATTATAATGTCTGCAATGAAGTACATGTCAAAGTAAACACACACGTTATTATCATCAGCTCGAGAGCTCGCGCTTTAGACCACCCTGTAAAATACTCAGGGCAGACTCTGCTGTTCTTCTTGGCTTTGTGGCTGTTCATCAAGACGATGACAAGGTTTGTTTGAGCTCAGGCTCGTTATCATATGTATATATTATTACGGTGTAATGTCTCGGCTGTGTATTTAAAACATAGTGCTTCCTTTTTCATTCTAGCCTGTTGCACGAGCGAGTGACGTATCTCTGTAAACCAATAGCGTTCAGACGCGCGTCTTGCTCCGCCTTTGGTACCCTTTTGTTCTGCTAGGTACTCTTTGCAAAGGATACCCAAAAAGTGGTGCGGTACGGTTCAGTTTCAGGTACCTTTTGACAGAGAATTGGCCATAAAAGTATACCAGACTGTACTGTACCGTAACACTCAGTGGAAACAGGCCAAAATGGTTCTGATTGGATTTTACGTCATTCAACGATTAGTTCATAGAGAGCTTACACTTTGCCTTAAGAACATGTGGTGCAACCGAAGTGAGAACAACTTTAGTTACAGACTGGTTAGTAGTTACCAAGCCTTCAGTGTGGAGTCCCAGATTAAGCGAGATCTTCTGAAACGCTGGTGCAAGCCTAACCTCAAGAATAACAGCATGAGCTAGCAAAATAAATTCTGACTTCACGTGGGCTTTAAGGGGTTTTGATTATCCTCTGAACAGAATTTATTTCTGATTCGCTCTAAAATCATTTGTATCTGTTCACTTCCCAAATATTAGGCTTTGCTAATAACGCAAAAGATGCTAACTAAATGCAAAGTGCAATGAAGACAAGCCCTAAATAGCCCCTTAAGCTGATGCCTGTGTGTACTGATACAGAGAGCAGTGATGTAAGCGGACGAGCCCTACAAATCTCATTTACTGTGGGGCCGGCCCGCATTCAGACACATCGGGACATCTTAAGAGCAGATTAATGTTGTTTGTGACTCTCTTTCCATATAACCTTTGGCAGATGAGCAGAGCTCTGACAGTGAAAGTTCCCTTCTTATTCTGTTTGGATTTAGTTTCTTGTCATTTATCCAAAACTTCCCTCTTTGGCTTTATAGTCTCCTGTCACAGGAAGCCCTCATGGGTCTCTAGCCCTGTGGTGATGAGTCTATATCAGCGGTGGGCAAACTCAGTCCTGCAGGGCCGGTGTCCGGCACAGTTTAGCTCCAACTCTAATCAAACACACCTGAACATGCTAATCAGTGTCTCCAAGATCCTCTATAATCAGGTGTGTTAATACAGAGTTGGAGCTAAACTGTGCAGGACATCATCAGCCCCGCAGGACCCAGCTCTGATCTATATGTCTGATTACAGTGGCAGGATTTCAGCATTAATAGTGGTACTGTCAGCCCACAGCTTCACACTGCATGTCAATCTAGAATCAGACTTGAAGATCCATTAGGTCATGTCGGAGCAGTAGGATTTGTGCATCACTGACAGATTAGGTTTGTGTTTTGTGTATATGTGTGTATGACAGCCAGCTAAAGGTACAGTATAACACATGAGGTTACTTGGCTTTGATATAAAACTACAGTTTTTCTAAAATACACCCAACATGTTATATATATATATATATAATATTTCATCACAGCACTTTAATGAATGTGTTGCCACGATACTGTAATTTCCAACTTCATCACCATACCTTGAAAATTATTGATACCCAATATTGATACCCAGCAGTCCTTAAGTCCAAAAAGCAACACATCACTTGTAAAAACTGAATTAGAGCAATCTTATTGTATTTTCTGATTCAAAAGTCTTGAAATCCTATATTTATATCAGTTAATATTTGTTCATTTATCACTCGCGCGCTTCACATCAACTGAGCCTCGCTCACAACATCAGTAAGCGACGTTCACCTGTCTCACTGTGCTCCTGATCATCCTCGCGTTCAGTATTCACCTGCTTTCTTGTGCTTGCACAAACACTTGTGTACTGTAATCAGTGCTATTAGACTGTGAAGAGACTTTCATCCAGCACAACAACACATGTTCCTGAACACAATCAGCCACTGCAGCTTTACGTTTAGAGATTTAAATGGCAAAAAAGGAACAACGCAAACAACAACAACAGCAGCATCACTTTAGCAGAGGTGCATGTCTGATTCATCCTCATAGTCTGCTAGATTCAGAAACAGCAGAGCAAAGGCTGTGAATGAACACAGTTTAGATCACACAGCTGAAGAGGTCAGCGCCGCCGGCAGGAGAGACAGGATGACGGAGAGCGTGCTGATTTTGTTTTGTTGTGTTAATATTGTTATCATATCTGCACATTTCTAAATGGTGAAATCAGCCTATGGCTATTCAGTTCCCTGCTGGTGAGAAGAGAGAGGACGGAGAGCAAAGCCAGTATTGATACTAACCAAAAGCAAGATCGCATCGATATTAAATAAATTAAAAATACATAAATAAATATTTCATTATTGATGGATCAACATGTTTGACAGCGTGATGCTCCAGAACATAACTAACACAGTGAGCGTGCAATCTGTCTGCCTGTTGCCTGTGTGTGATTCTGACGTTCTCCAGCAGGTGCATGCGAGTTGTGTCTCTCATTACTGTTTAATTGATGCAACAGCTCAAGCTGGCGGTGAGAGTTCACACTCGGATATGTCTGAGACGTCTCTAATTGTTTTGGCACTGTGAAATGTGAGGATCCTTAACCTGATTTTGTTCAGTGTGGAATGATGCAGCTCAGCCTTCCTGACACATCACACTCCATCAAGACATGTCCAAGTGTAAGAGCATGCCAAACATTGGCCTGTCTGTTTTTAAACGGTTCGTGAGAGCTGCACGCGTGTGCCATGACACGTTGGGTAACACATGGATTAAACTTGATGTATTGTCAGGAATGGATGCCACGTGTGTGTCTGAGATGATGGGACTAATGTAATAAAGGCTGTGAGATCAGCTGATGCCAGTTGCTTTGCAGAGCTGCATGGCATTCTGGGAAACATTCTCAAGGTAATGAAAGGTTACAAACATCTGTTTCCTTCAGCTGATTGACTGCTGTGTGCTGTCACTGCTCTGATTCACATGTACACAGTGCTCTGTGAGGGTCTTTAAAGAGTTCGTTTACCTAAAAGTGTTCATGTATTCATCCTCATGTAAGGCTTGAGGATTACACACACAGCTGAAGGCAGAATTATTCACCCCCCTGTTTATTTTCCCCTAATGTCTGTGTATCAGAGAGCAGATTTCTCCAGCACATGTCTGCACATAACAGTGTTAATAACTCATCTCTAATAACTGATTTATTTCCTCTTTGTCATGATGACAGTAAATAATATTAGACTAGATATTCTTCAAGACACTTCTATACAGCTTAAAGTGACATGTAAAGGCTTCACTAGGGTAATTAGGGTAACTAGGCAGGTTAGGGTAATTAGGCAAGTTATTGTATAACGATGGTTTGTTCTGTAGACTATCCAAAACAAATATAGCTTAAAGGGGCGAATAATATTGAGCTTAAAATGCTGTTTAAACTATTAAAAACTGCTTTTATTCTAGCCCAAATAAAACAAATCAGACTTTCTCCAGAAGACTTTCATACGGTGAACATGTCCTTGCTCTGTTAAACATCATCTGGGAAATATTTAGAAATAAATATGTGTTCAAAGGGGGGTGAATAATTCTGACTTCAACTGTATATAATGTATAAATTATTGCAAATAATTAAAAAAATAACACTATTAAATTAGAGAATGTTGTGTATATCAGCACAGGAAACAGTCGAATATGTTCAGTAATCTCATCTTTTATTTCACAGATAACAGTGATGTACAGAACTGTAGATCTTACAAAAATAACTTCTGTTGACCTTATCAAGGCCCAGTCTCAATTCTATAGCCCTGTCCCTATGCCCACACCTTCCCTTTGGCCCTTGAAGCAGAGTGTGAAGTGGTAGGGAGGAAAGGAACGGGACACCACTACTACACATGCACACGTCATCAAGAGTCGTCACTGTCTCATGTGTCACTCGAGGTCTGTCATCTGCGGTAGTCATTCAGCAGATTACTCGCTTACACAGTTGTTTGTGTGTTGTATTTGGAGTTTAGAAATAAATCTGTTCTCAGCTCAAAAGCTGACGAGTCTCTGAGTTTCCTCCGGCATCCCTGTTGTGGATCAGGAAGCCTGGAACTGTACTGTGTATCTGCACAGAGTTCTGGCGAATTAAATAAGAAGCATCTCGAGGAGGGCAGGACATAGCCGACACTAGAAAGCATTTGATTGGTCGGAAGATTTGAGGAGAACCTGAAAAGTAAAACAGGTTTTATCCAGTTAGACTGATGAGACGAACGGAAAGCTCTGCATCAGGGGTCACCAACCCTGTTCCTGGAGAGCAGTGCTGACCCGTGGGGCTGAGGGGCGCGAGGCCAGATTACAAAAACTGAGCCCACTGGTGTAAAAACAGCAGAAAGCACAACACAATACAGTTTTACTGTTTATTTTAGTGTGTGCATTTTTATTTCCTGTAGCATGTTTAACCTTTAATACATGTGTGCACGAATTTGCTCAGAACTAAACAAACGAGTTTGTAAGCCAGAAAACGCTCATTAAACATGTGACGTACACGAGTAAAACATGAATCAAATGCAGTTTTGTAAATGAATAACACACTACTGTATGCAGAAATATCTAGAAATGCAGGAGACGTTTGAGCTTGTTAACACACACAGATGTTCGCATTAGATGCTGGACGTTAATAAAATACAATTAATGGGAAATTTATTCAGTCGTATAAGTAATTCTCCTTAACTTACGACTGCAACCGTATCTGTCTCAGGAGAGCCGCAGCCCTGCAGAGTTCAGTTCCAGTCCTGCTTCAGCACATCTATCTGTAGATATCAAACAAGCCTGATGCTGCATTCACACGGGGTGACGACAGCCGTTGCCCAACTGCATTGTGGATCCGTCGGCGTCGCTTCAGTGGTGTTGCTCGCTGCAGAAGTTGGGAACATCTCAACTCTTCAAACAGCAACAGACATGCCAGCCTATCAGATCGCTTTATGCAAATACCCCAGCTCATACAGTTGATTATGGACTAATTTCATTGGCTGACGCTGCTGATCGTATCCGCCCCAAGCTCAGCACCTGTTTAGCACCTGTGACCTAAAAGTACAGGGTTCGGGACTCCTGCTTTGGATGTTTGTATTTTCTAATTGTGAGTTTTTGAGCAGGCATGATTGCTTAGAGATTTCCTTGAGACTCATTCTGTTTCTAACATCTGAAAATGTGTTTACATCCATCCATTCATTCCATTTCTTTTCCAGCTTACTCCCTTTATTAAACTGGGCTCACCACAGCGGAATGAACCGCCAACTATTCCAACATGCTTTTTACACAGCAGATGCCCTTCCAACCGCAACCAATCACTGGGAAACACCCATACACACATACACTACAGCCAGTGTAGTTGATCAGTTCCCCTATAGCGCATGTGTTTGGACTGTGGGGGAAACCGGAGCACCCGGAGGAAACCCACACCAACACGGGGAGAACATGCAAACTCCACACAGAAACACCAACTGACCCAGCCG